GAGGCGCTGGTGGGGGCTGGAAAGACCCAGAACACCGCGGCTCGGGTTCGGAAAGGGCTCTGTGTCCGGGGCTGCTGGTAAACACACGGGGAGGTCAGAATAGCTACAAAGACCTTTAAACAAAGCAAGCGCAACTTCCTTCCCTTAGGAGTCTGGAAGATGGGAAAGAAAGCCGGTGAGCTGTCATACAATAGATTCCTTCCTGAGTGGCCCTTTCCACTTTGTCCCTTTACCACCTGTTTCTCTTAAAGAACAGAAACTGGCAGGTCGTGGACGGGTAAGGTTTCACTGACATCCCAGACAAGGCCGGGAGAGGCGGCTGGCCGGTGGGTACAAGCACTTGAACAAGCAAACAAATTGTCCTCACCCTGCGGGGGCAGGAGGGGGGAGAAGGTGGGTGTGTGAATGATCTGTTTGTAACAGGCCCTCTCCATCTTATGTATATAGATCACTTACTTATGTTCAAAGTGGGAGCAATTTAAACTCCGGCAAAGCCCAGATGCTAGGCGCCAACTCTTCTGATGGGTTTCAACAGCCAGATCAGGGGCATTGGAGGCAAAGGCCCCCTGGGGGATATCCATTCCTCTTGGATAACCCAGACTCTTATTTTTGAAGTCCCCTGCTCCTCCTGGAGGAGGGGGCACTGGCTTCTAGGACAGGGAGGGATGTCAGGCTTACACACCCGCGGCCAGGCCGCTTCACCAAAGCCCCGGAGGCCTGGGGGCCTGCTCTCCTCCTGCCCAGGCCGGTGCCTTGGATGTGAAAGGATTCCCTGTCCCTGGCATATAGCTCAGATTCATTTACATCAGGACGCATGCGTGAGACCACTCCACCGCGATGTAACCAGAGACTCGACATGCCAGGTTAACTAATCCCCAAAGCAGGCCGGGGTGAAGATAATTAGTGGTGCCCCAAGTTTAAGACATTAGCTGTGTAAATTTTACTTTATATAAAGTCTATCCTAGATCATAGATCATTGTTGCTTTTATTTTCAAAATTTCTACAATGAGTATGTACGATTTTTTCATATGAAATACTTTTTTTTTCCCAGCCAGTGTGGCTCAGTGGTGGAGTATCAACCCAGGAATCAAGAGATGGTGGTACGGTCAGGGCACATGCCCGGGTTGTGGGCTCAATCCTCAGAGGAGGTTATCATGCAGGAGGCAGCCAATTGATGATGTTTCTATCTCTATTCTAAAATCTAGAATCCCTTTCTCTCTCTCTCTAAAAATCATTAAGAACATAAAAAAATGTATTTTAACACCTTGGTTTTAAAATTTGTCACTAAAGCATGTTCTTTTTCTCCAGACATTACTTAAGAAAGTAGTAAGCAATGCATACTTCTTAACTTTGTAAGTTAGTAACATGAACTATAGCTGGATCCTCATGTGCCCTAGAGAATACACATCCCCTGATCACATAAGGCAAAACTGCCTTCAGTAGTAACACCTCCCCCATCTGCATGCCCTCAGAAATTAATTTCTTATTTGAAATGATAGCTAACAATGTGTAGGTGTTTGCCTGTGCCAGACCTGCTCTAAGTGCTTTGCATAAACCACTCCCTTCATCCGCACGAACACCCTAAAACTGGGCTCTATGATCGTCTCTCCTGCGGATGAGGACTCAGAACTGGAGCTGCTGGGCACAGTGAATGGTGTATCCAATACTTGAACTAAACACATTCATCTCCACACCACACCAGGACAATTCCTGACAAGCTACCCTCAAATTCCCAGAGCTCCCTTTTTTCACTATGAATTACTTTTAGAAGTTTATCCTTTTAATAATGCCATGAAAATGTACAAATTAGACATTTGAAAACTCTAGCTGAAAGGTCTTTTAATTTATCACAGGACACCACTGAGCTTCCAGATAACTAACAGGAATACAAAACATTCCAAAGGAGTCCTAAAATAAAGCTCAATGCCTCTCAGACAGCAGACGACTTCAGAAATAAGCTGCCTGATCCAGTGGGGACGCAGGAGGCGAACCCTTTCACATCCCTAGTCCTTGATGTTCAAGTCAGAGAACAATACTTTCAGGTTTGACCCAATTTTTTAACAGAATTTTCCCTTTTTTCCAGCCTTATTGAGGTACTAGAGGCTGGGTGCACAGATTCGTGCACTGGTGGGGTCCCTCGGAGTGGCCTGCAGGGATCAGCCAAAACCAGCAGTCCAACAGCACCCAAGGGACGTAGTAGTGTGTGAAGTGGCAGGCGGTCGGGAAGGTGCCTGAGCCCAGGTGGGTACCATGCCGCTCCCACTCATCCTGGCCCCGCCGCGCCTGCCGCCACCACTCAGTAGGTTCACTGCTGCTCCACTGCGGATGCTGTCACAGCTGCACTCACCAGCCATGAGCCTGGCCTCTGGCGCCCATTCGTCAGCTGAGCGGCACTCCCGCTGTAGGAGCGCACTGACCACCAGGGGATAGCTCCTGCATTGAGTGTCTGCCCCTGGTGGTTCAGTGCGCATCATAACAACCAGTCAACTAGTGGACTGGTCACTTAGGCTTTTATATGTATAGACTAGAGGCCCGGTGCATGAAATTCGTGCTCGAGGGGGTGTGGGGGAACCCTCTCCAATCTGGGACCCCTCGGGGTATGTCCAACTGCTGGTTTAGAACCAGCAGTCAGACATCCCTCTCGCAATCCAGATCCACCGGCTCCTAACTGCTCACCTGCCTGATCGCCCCTAACTGCTCCCCTGCCAGCCTGATTGCCCCTAATCGCCTCTGCCTCAGCCCGGCCACTGTGACTTTGTCCGAAGGATGACCAGAAGATGTCCGGTCCACCCAGTCTAATTAGCATATTGCCCTTTTATTAGTATAGATAATTGACAAAACTCTAAGATATTTAAACTGTACATCAGCACAATCGGATATATGTGTACATTATGAAAGGAGGATTTGGCCTCATTTGAACGTTAAAGCATGAGGTACTGGCTCCAAGCTTCACAGAGCTCCTCAGATGGTCTCATGAATAATGAAACCAGATGCTATGTTTTGATTTACCTAACGTCATGAGTAATATAAAACCAGAAATAAAGGTATATTTTTATTATGTAGAACAACAGTAGTGACCACCACAGTAACTGTAGTGAGTTTAATAGTGTCCCCACACAAAAAAATACATGTTTACCCAAAACCTCAAAATGTGACCTTACTTGCAAACAGGGTCTTTGCAGATGAAACAAGCTGAGGATCTTGAGGTGAAGTCATCCTGGATCTCAGGTAAGCTCTAAATCCAGGAACTGGTGTCGTCGTAAGAAGAGAAGACACATGGAGAGACAGAGGAAAACACCACGTGAACACAGAGGCAGCGACTGGAGCCCCAGGAGCCAACAGGAGCTGAAGAGGGAGGAAGGATTCTCTCCAAGAGCCTTCAGAGGGAGCATGGCCCTGGATTTCAGACCTCTGGCCTCCAGAACTGTGAGAGAAGACGTTTCTGTTGTTTTAAGCCACACAGATCTATGGCAATTTGTTACAGCCACCTTAGGAAACTAATACAGAGAAAGAAACGCATGTTGGGTATGTAGCAGGGTGGAGGTGACCACCATACCTAAAAGGCAGTTCTTCAACTTTGCATCCCCAAGGCCTCTCTTCCTTCCATCTGAGGTGGACGCACCCCTTTCAAAGGCAGAAGAGAAGGCTGAAAAAGCTGGTAAAAAAGACAGGGAGAGACCATTCATACGGGAAAGGGACTTCTGAGACACTGCCATCTTTTAGGTTCCAACACTGAGAACCTGTGTTGGGATGGTCCCTTCACAGTAAACTGCTGGTTTTGTTACTGTCCTGGGCAGACCACCGGCCATGAACTCGCCGTCTCTCCATGAATGTCAAGGCTAGGGTGACACCTGTCTAATGCATGTCTACCTGGAGATGCTCCCCAACAACAAATATACACCACCAGCCATCCGATAAGGAGAACTCCCCAACTAAGGTTGTAGGAACACAGGACCAACGAAACTGAGGCTGGGCAATCTAACAGCAGATGGAGGCAGGGGTGGAAGGGGTGGTGACGTGAAGGGAAAGCCTTGCCCTGCCCACCCCTACAACGCTGGAATGAAACAGTCTGCTTGGAAATGGGCACTGCCCCTATTACAGAAAAACCAATTTTTTCTTATGGTTTCCTCCCGGGCACAAACCATAAGGGAAAAAAGCAATAAATGTGACTACATAAATATCAAAATACACTGTAAGCAAAATTAAAAGGTAATTGGCTGGAGGAAATATTTGCAACATATATCACCGACCTGAGCTTCATGGAACATCAAAAATTCTTAAGAGCCCTAACCGGTTTGGCTCAGTGGATAGAATGCCGGCCTGCAGAGTGAAGGGTCCCAGGTTCAATTCTGGTCAAGGGCATGTACCTTGGTTGTGGGCACATCCCCAGTAGTGGGTGTGCAGGAGGCGACTGATTGATGTTTCTCTCTCATCGATGTTTCTAACTCTCTATGCCTTTCCCTTCCTCTCTGTAAAAAAGCAACAACAATAAATTTTTTAAGAAATTCTTAAGAAATCATTTTTTATAAAGATGAAAAACACCAAGTGAAAAAATGGGCAAAAGGCCAGAAAAGGCAAGTCACAAAATAAGTACTAATGGTCACTAGCAATATGGAAAAATGCCTACCCTTTTTAGTGGGTCAAATCAAAGATGTCCATTTCTGACAATAAAACAG